TCCAAGACCATGGTCTTGGAGCGGGAGATTGATAGGGGGATTGGTGCGGCGTCTGCTATGAAGCGGGCACTGTACCGGTCTGTTGTTGTGAATAGAGAGCTGAGCCAAAAAGCAAAGCTCAATTTACTGGTTGATCTATGTTTCTACTCTTTTCTATGGTCATGAGCTTTGGGTCATGACCGAAAGAACGAGATCCAGGGTACAAGTGGCTGAAATTAGTTTTCTCTGTAGTTTGTGTTGGCTCTCCCTTAGAATTTGGGTGAGGAGCTAAGTAATCAAGGGATGACTCAGAGTAGAGCCGCTGCTCCTTCTCATTGAGAGCAGCCAGTTGAGGTGGCTTGGGCATCTGGTTAGGATGCCTCCTGGACGTCTCCCTGGTGAGGTGTTCCAGTCACGTCCCACCAGGAGGAGGCCCAGGGGGGACCCAGGACATGCTGGGGGGACTATATTTCTTGGCTAGCCTGGTGCCATCGTGGGATTCCCCTGGAGGAGCAGGCCCAAGTGGCTGGGGAGAGGGATGTCTGAGCCTCCCTAATGAAGCTGCTACCCCGCGACCTGACCCCGGATAAGCGGAAGAGGATGGATGGATGGATGGATGGATGGATGGATGGATGGATGGATGAACATATAGTGTTTTACTATATTGAAAATTTCTCCACAGATTCATGGCTCTACACATGAGAGCAACTTCCTCTGGACAAGACTGTGCTGTCCACCTACACCTTAAGGAAAAAGGATATTCGTTATATTTTGGACAAAGAGGTGGTTTGATAGGGGTTTGAAAGAAGCCATTTACGTCAAGAGGGAAAAAACAACCTTAAAAAGAGGGGGTGGATTCAGGTTTCAGCTCTCGAAAACCTATAACACAGTGTTAGAGTTTATTCCCTCCCACCATCACATCAATCCTCATCGCCATGCAGGTGCTCAAACATTGAGCCTGTTAAGCTAAAAACAACCCTAACGACTCCCAATTACTAAGGTGTTGACCCGTTTTTCTGTTTAATTTTCATGTTTTCTAAGCCATAACAAGGCTTTTGTTGGGCTACTCTATAAAGCCTGGAATACAACGCTACACCAAGCATTTTGAATTGAGAACGTTTTCTGAATTGGAAGCAAAACGTCTTCAAACTTAGAAAACAAAGTCCAGTGGTTTAGTTTTTTTACTTTTTTGGAATATAGTGCAGCACAAAACTTCCATCCACCGCAACAGCGTGCTCCCACACATATAAACAAACATGCCGCAGGCACCTTGAGGTTTTCATGTGCCAGGCCATTCCTCTAGGGTGACTTAGTTGTGCTTTTAAGTGCTGAGATCAAAGAAATCTGTACGGGTGTACAAATTAGCTAAAGGGCTGGGGAAGTTGTAGCTGTCATGAGCTTGATAACCAGGCTGTAAAGCAAGGCCATGTGCAGACTTAATAACTTCTCCCTGACCCCTGTTTGTTTCCTCGCTAACACAAAAAAGGGAAAAACATGCAAATATCCAACAAACACACAGCAAACAAGCAAACAGCAGCCCCGCTTTCAAACACTACAGTTGTACAAACACATTTAAATACAAATATATTCTCTCATAATAGCAAGTGAAGGTTATGACATTTTCCAAGCAGCTACACTGTTATAGTGATATTATTATTATGTTTTTTTTTCAGCACAAGTGGCACTGACCTCTAGCTGGGAAGAAGGTCACAGGTGACTGGTTATGATACTTCTTACAGTCGGTCAAGGAGGCAACATGAAGAGTGGGCAATGCATTATAAGTCGAAGTTTGAAATACCACACATGGCACTTGAATCATATCTAGTGATTGCGTACCTCTCTCATACTGTGCATCATCATTCCAGCACTGGATTTCTATATTACACCGAGATAGCACTGTTCCTGAAAGTAAAGAGTAACAGAAGCTTTACCAAAAAAAAAACGGGTATCAATTTTCTTTGAAGATGTGTGTAATTTACTGCATTACTCATCATCACTCAACAAGATATGTTTATATCAAAAATATCATGTTCATTAAACAGCTTAGAGACTGTTATGATCCTGTTTATGACCAAAGGAGTTGCAGCTGATTACAGGAAGTTAAGCAAATTATGACAACAAAGTGATGTTTTACTTTGACTTGTGATTGAACTCTGTTGTAAGATTTTAATTTACTTTTTTATAAACTTTTTTTATAAACACAAATGAGGGTGTATCGATATTGTTAGACCAATATGCAGATGATCAATGTGCTCTATTATGTAAGAAGATTAAAGATACATTCTTAAAAAAATTTGCCAAAAATTCTAATTAATTTAAAAAAGAGAAGACATTTGAATTGTAATCCAAGTTTTAAGCATTAGGTTAGGGACCTGAATAATTTGCAGTTTTGATTTATGCACTGAAAGTGTGTGAACATTAGTGTTGCCCCCCAATGTAAGGTCAAAAGCTATCACCCATAGATCAGTCAGAGGTAATTCATTTAAATACACTGTTGATCTTTTTGCTCCTTTTGCCTTTTCATAGTTTTGCAGGTTTGGTAATGTTGTGTCTAGCTTATTTAACTATGAAACAATACAGATTTCCAATGCAGAACTTTTATAGTGACCAAGCGTCAATTCTAATTTTAGAAATTTTTTATATGTTGAATTTTAGATTTTTTTTTGTCCGCACCATCAACACCAAGTTAAATTCCTTGTAAGTGCAAACCTACTTGGAAATAAACTTAATTCTGATTATAATTTTAATCAGAAAAGAAATATTGCCAACATATGAGGAATTTGTTACTGAGGGCTACATGTAGGCAAACAAGCAGTTGACATAAATAACTTTGGAAATATAAACATTTGGATTAAACAAATGCAAGTTCCATAGGAATGTTATGAGAATAGAGAAAAATAGTGTAACTTTTTGGAGAGGAAAACTACATAAAGAAATTGTGTAACATTAAAAATATTAAATGAATTTAAAAAGTATTGTATAAACATGTGCTCTTTGTATTTTCTTTGTTTTTTTCTTTTTTTTTTCCATCCAGAAGGTCAGTGGGGGTCAAGACCTTGTTAATGAGGATAGTTGTTGTGTTGCCTTTTTGGGTGTGACGTCAGTTACAGTTGATGGTATTTTCTTGAATTCCAGCAGCCAGGGATCCCACCAAGTATAAATACTCAGAGACAAAACAAACTTGAAAGCAAGAGCAAATGCATCGGTTCTTGCAGAGTAGCTTTACCTGCACCCCCCTTACTTCTGGAGGTGTAGAGTAAGAAAATGAAGATTGCATCCAATTCCCCTACCTGCAGACAGGATGAGCAGTGGTAGCAGCAGCATACCAGATGGTGATGGAGGAGAGGATGGTAGAGTGCATCCCTCTGCACCATCACTGTCTTTAGCAGTTGGAACGTTTTCATCTGCTGCAGGAAGTACATCCTCCACTGTGACTTCTTGGAGGGAGAGATGATGTTCATAATGATGCCCTGGAAGCTGAAAGAGTCCACAGTAATGTCTGGAGAGTCACACAGAATGATGGGGCAGGGTGGGATCTTTCTGTTGTCTATGACCATTTCCACTGTTTTCAGAGGTCGGTCAGAGCTTCGGTTCAAGACTGTTCTGACTGCATCAAGCCTCAAGATGATCAGTCATCCACCTTAATGTGGATACATCCCCCCAGAGTTGAGCCTAATAGAAGTGGTGTCATTCACAAAGTTCATGAGCTTGATGGATTGGTGAATGTACACTAAAAAAAATTGGAGCACCATTTCCTTAGAAAAAGCTACGGAAAGCTTCTTTGTAAATTTGACTCATTAAAGTCTAAATTAATTTTACTTACTGAGAAGAGTAGATTTAAAAAACAAACTCAAGTAAATAGTTTCTCTCTCTCTTTCTCTTACATATTTTTAAAAAGTACATTTTTTGTTGCTCTTAGCAACAAAATATGTACTTTTTTTTGCTAGTAAATTTTACGCAACTCATATTTTGTTCATTTCAAAACTAAGGCTTTTTCTTTGCTTTATTCTTAATTCATAGTTAAGTAAATTATATTCAACTAATCTAAATCTCAACTGCATACTTTTCATAGTTCTTCATTTTCAATACATATAACTCATTCAATAAAACTCATTAAAATATCATAACATTCTAAACTTGCATGATAGTACACAATATTTTCTGTCATGCAGGAAAAAAGGTGCCAAGTTTATTCCTAATATCTAAATACATCTGTCTAAATACATCTGAACTTATATAGATTGTTTCTTTAATACTATTTGGTAAGATTGATCAAATGTCTTTTGATTGATATTGTCATGATCTTGGTGCTTTTGACTGGCTTGATTGCTAATCCCATTCATCTGCCTAGCTCTGCCCAGTTTCTCATCACAGTTCATCTGTCAATTGTTCAAGTCTCTATTTAACCTGCCTGCTTCCAGTCATAGGTGTCAGATTATTCGAGCCTTTAGTGAGAGTCTTCTAGCGAGTAGTATTTTTTTCTGATTGCCTGATCCTGACCCGTTCTGCCTTGAGACCTCTGAGTCTGCCTGTTCCTGTTCTGATCGGTTTGCCTGACCTGTCTTCAGACTCCTGTTAAATTCTGGATGACCCTGGAATTACTTCCTGACACGACCTGGATTTCTCTTCAGTACTTCTTAAGGATTATGATCTTCGGGCCCAGACTACTGTGAACCTCTGTGACGCTGGCCCTGGCTTCGTCCTCTGGATTGTCCTGCCTTCCCTCTCCATGGACTGAACTTTAAGACCAGGTTAGTGACTCACATGTTTATAATCATCCTCTGCCAGATTGATGTGGTCACTAACCACAGGGGTTTCTGCCTTACACGCCCTTAATGCCCACTGCTAAACCATCATTTTAAACTAAATGCTTTTTGAAAAAACTGTCTGTCTGCCTTGAATTTACAAATTAAAAATTTAATTAACAAATTAAATATAAGTAATACATTAACAGTGTCATTTTGAAGTAAAGGCAGTTACATGACAATTTAAAGTAAATCTTAAATAAAAACTAGGTTAATATTTACAGTTCCCAAAAGTCCATTTTCTCAGTGTAGGTGCAGCTGATTGTATACAGGAAGAGAGCAGAGAGGAACTAGTGCTGATGGTCCAGGATTGAGAGACCAGCTCACAGCTTACAGTTGTGCTTCCCAGCATAGGTTCCTGTGGTGTTCAGGCGCTGCAGAATGTTACTGCATTTTCTACAGACTTGTTGTCTCTGTAGGCGAAAGTAGATCAAGAAATTGGGTCTGTAATGGATTTAAGGTGGTCAGCACAAACACTCAAAGGGCTTCATTACCACAAAGGTCAGGGCGATGGGTCTGAAGTCATGTAGTCCTTTGGTCCTTAAATTTCTTGGGAACAGGAGTGCTGGAGGCTTTGAAGCAGGCTGGCATATGGCATGTCTCCAGTGAGGTGTTAAAAATGTCTGTGAACACAGGAGACAGCTGATTAGCAAAGAAAATTAATTAATTTTCAGTTATTTATTAATGATCTAGTTTAAGAAAATGTACTTTTGCGATTTCAACAGATGATGTGTTTCTGAAAGATATATACATATATATATTTTAGATCAAGACTTACAAGATGTTACATTTTGTAAGAGTCAGTCCCAAAAGATAATTGAAACCATAATCTGTATAGAAATGTGCAACAGGCAACATACAATTTCACTCATTTTAAATGAGGTTTAAAATGGATACTAACACACAGATGGAGACATTTTAATATTCTTATTGTGGTTGCAAAGTCTTTAAATGACAGATGATGGTGAAATTCGAAATATTTGTGAAATTGTAAGTGATTTTAATGTAAGTGATTGAAAAGTGATTTTTTTTCACAAGTTGCGGTTCATCAAAGGAGTAGGTGGAATAGAGTGACTGAAATCTTTGTGGGGTTTCACGACTTCTCCTTTGAACATTTAATGATCCTGTTTATTTTTGTAGTAGAGCCGCAAAGTATAAAGACCTATGGATTTTTCAACACTTACACTTTGACACAGAAAATATAATGAGATGTGTAATATTTTGGTTCTAAAATGTTTATTTTCAGTGTTTTTTAAAGCAACTGATTTATTTTCTTTCACTTTAAAGTTTTTTTTAAGGGAGAGGAAACAACAGGCAAAATCGATCAGCAAAAAAAATAAATCCTCACTGAGGGAAAAGTCAGCAACAAACTCCAGAATCCTTGGTTTTATATTTTAACAATCAAACCAAAAGGTTTAAAGAGCCGTACTGTTAAGTTTACTTTGTTTTTGTTGTTTTTTTTCTACATTATAATAACCCGTAGAAGTAAAATGCTTTGAAACTTTTGGCTTCATCTGAAAAATATCACATAAAAATGTACCCTCTAATTGCAAAGATATAAAGTTACATCACATGAGAAGTGGATACTTCAAAAAAGGCAACTTAAAGGAATAGTACACCCAAAACATGATTAGCCTTGATTTTCTACACACCCCCATGCTGAACAACACTCTGGAGTACTTTTTTGATATCTCAAATGCATCTGGAGATCTGGGAGGCTTCTTGCTGTCTGCTGACATTCAAATAATGGAGGTCTGTGGCGCCCGAGGCAGAAAGGTCCATAAAAGTCCACAAAAAACGTGTCAATATTCCTCCATACTGCTCGTCCAATGTATTCCAAGTGTCCTGAGTGGGTAGCATCCAGAATTTACTCGAAACAAAGTCATTTAGAATGTTTTTAGAGCATAAACAGTAGTGTATAGGATTTCCTAAAAGCGCGTTCACGAGTCTATGGAAACCGCGGCAGACCAAACCAGACGAAAGTGCGCATTCAGCATCTGCTCTGCCGATAATGCAAGCGTAGAAGAATAAATGTGCTGTTTACCTGTGCAAAGAAAGAAACAACGAAAGAAAAATGTCTGAGGACTTCTGTGTTGAGGAAGAGCATGAGTTCTTTGCAGAGCTGAATGCGCACTTTCGTCTGGTTTGGTCTGCCGCGGTTTCCGTAGACTCGGGAACGCGCTTTTAGGAAATCCTATACACTACTGTTTATGCTCTAAAAACATTCTAAATGACTTCGTTTTGAGTAAATTATGGACGCTACCCACTCAGGACACTTGGAATACATTGGACGAGCAGTATGGAGGAATATTGACACGTTTTTTGTGGACTTTTATGGACCTTTCTGCCTCGGGCACCATAGACCTCCATTATTTGAATGTCAGCAGACAGCAAGAAGCCTCCCAGATCTCCAGATGCATTTGAGATATCAAAAAAGTACTCCAGAGTGTTGTTCAGCATGGGGGTGAGTAGAAAATGAAGGCTAATCATGTTTTGGGTGTACTATTCCTTTAAGCTTAGGTGGTAGAAGATATAGCGTTTAAATTTTGTGTGAATCCATTTACCAGAATACCACAGCGAATGTTGATGGTGTGACTTTGCACCTTTTTTCATGGGCTCCACTTTGGCCGGCACAGCTCCACTTAGCCTGTTTTTGTCTTTTACTAGCTTTGGCCTTCTTGGTACTGTGACCCATTGGGTCTGCTCACATGATGTGAACAGACTGCTGTTCACTGATTCGTCAATGCTATAGTCTCCCCTAAGAGTCCATAAGCAGATAAACAGCCACAGTTTTCCAAACTCACCACTCTACAAGCCTTAGGAATCCCCAGTGCAACAATAAAGTCCACCAGGGGTTATATAATGCAGTCTTCTGTGTATCGTAGGAGACTGCAGCATTCAGCAGCAGCTTGACAGGGCAACAGGAAACCAGGTGTTTGGCGAGGTAGCAGAGAGGCATGGGTTTTACTGCACGTGGTGGCAGTGCCAGGAAAAGCTCAAAAGCGCAGCACATGACGGTGAGAGCAGTGGGTCAATGGAGATTATGCCGAGTGGAGGGAGGTTGAGTGGAGGGGGGCTGTGCTGTCTTGGAAATATGTATTCATATTCAAAAATAGTGGTCATCTGACCAAGATGTGTGTTACTGAAGGAATAAAATAGTGCAAAGAGAGTGTATATTTGAAAAAAGGAAAATGTATTTTTATTTTTATGAAATTTGCTATTTTACAACCGTCTTACAATTTTTTTTAAATTGCTTAGCATTTTTACTCATAGTTTTTCGATCACATTATGTATCAATACGCCTGAGGCTGCCTTAAAACGATACTTTTACTCTGTCAGACTAAAGGCTGGTTTATACTCAGAAACCAGGTCGTCTTGTGTGTGTGTGTCGCAGTTAACGCAAATATGCCCCCACCCCTTCCGCAGACACTCTGGCACACCTCTTTAAAATTGTAGGAGTTTGCCGCAGTGAGCTTATTGCAGGTATGAAGCAGATATTTTTGATTTATGCCCAAATGTGAAGGTGGTCTGCGCTATATTATTCCACGCCACAACACAAGACGGACACAAGAGGCTGGGGCGTATCTGCGTTAACTGTGACACACACCTAGATGACCTGGTTTCTAAGCATAAACCAGCCTTTAAACCTGTGGGTAATATTAAAATTAGTCTAAAACCTTAATCCACTAGAGGTATGCAAGTTTTTTTAATCAACCATATGCACAGTAATGTGTGTCAGAGGAATAGGCAAAGCTGGAGTATTTGCTCAGCACCATTCATACAAAGAAGTTTAATTCAAATAGTTTTTCAAAGAGCATTGTAATTCAGTGTAAAAGTAGACATGCACGTACATGAAAAAATGTATTTCAAATTAAACTAGTATAAAGGTAAAGTTTGTCAAAATTAGTTAATTTTCTCTGTTGAGTATAAGCTGCTGAAACATTGTTAATTATTGTAAATAAGCAGTTTGTTTTTAGAACAAATGCAGTCATCCTGAGTATGTTTGTTATACAGATCAACCTAATGGACCCAAGACAAACAATCAAAAGTACTCATGGCTCATCTATGTCATTTTAAAGTGGAAGGGTAAAAAACATAATACAAACCTGAAGTATGGCATGCATTTTTATTCAAACTTTTGTTTACTTCTGGAGAGTGGTGGCCTGGTGGTTAGGGCATTGCGCTTGGGTCCCAGAGGTTTTGATTTCAAGCCCCACTCCCACGGACTTCCACTCTGGGTCCCTAAGCAAGATCCTTAACCCCCCATTGCTCCCAAAGGGGATGGGTTAAATGCAGAAGGAATCATTTAGTCTCTTTGTACTTGTGACACTGTAATGACAATAAAAGTTAAATTTTATCTTGTAAACACTAAGTCCCTCTTGCAACAATATGCAGTCACAGAACCTTAGTCCCAATTGAAATCCTGTCAATGTGTAGCCAAACCATCTTAATCTCCCCCTTGTTTATACTTGAGTACAGAGTAACAGAGCATTGCATAATTTAAGACTTGTTAATGCAGTTTGTGTTTAATGTTAGATGTCAGAGTTGCTGTTAGGTTTAGGATTAATCCAATGAAACCATATAAGTGTTAATATTCAATCTAATAAAGGACTGACAGTGGTAGTGGGCTTGTAAATTACAATCATGGCTGAATATTTTCCCATAAATGACATGTACGCTATACATGTCTGACAAGGCTAGACTATTACATTTTTTATTAACAAAAATCTAAATCTAAAAATATCTAAATCTCTCTTTTTTAATTATAAACAAGTAGCCAGTTCATAGATCCAGGTTAAATTCTCCATCATCCTCTTGTTAAAAACAACTGTTGTTTGTATGCCTAATCTCCCTAGTTGATTTTATTTGATTTGTTAAAGGTTTTGTGTGTCAGCATTAAACTTTAATAGTATGTTTACCGCCATTAGAATTGAAGTCATCCTCTCATCACTTATTTTCAATTTTCTTTTTTTTTTTTTTTCTCCTCTCTTGTTGTCTCCCCATCCACCCCAGGCGCATTGTAGTACAAAGTGAACAGCAGCGGCCCCCTCGTATCTGTGCTTGGGCATCACTGCAGCGTGGCATCTCTGCTCAGCGAGCAGAAGGGGGAGATTATTCTGTGCTGACATCAAAGGAGGTTTGTCTAACTTGGGCCTGGCGTTTTGCTGGTAGAGCAGGCCCTTGGTGCAGCCTCTCCGTTCTTATCTCTCCCCCACAGACTCTCTTTGCTTTCTGCTGTAGCACAGCTGGCTCCCGGTAACACTGATGCATAAATTCGGGGTTCTATACAGTCTAACGTGCACACAAACACCAGTTCCTGTTCCCCTTGTATGAAACACACAAAGACACACAACACTGAGGCAGCTCTTTTTCTTCTGATATTAGTAGAATTTGTTCTGCTGAGCGAGTATCTCTGTCTTCCTTCTCCAGCTTTTGCTGATAGGTGAACCTGGTTCAGTGAATACTTGAAATGGATTAGGGAAAACGGATTATCGCAGGACAGATGATTAGAAAAAGAAGTCTATGTGTGAAAATGATGCTTAGTCTTTACTTTGTGCATTAAAAAGCTTCATTCAGAGGAGACAAGTAAACATTATTTAACCCCAGCTGAGTCATATTTGGTTTTATTTTTAATAACTAACTTCACTTTATAAGCTGGGACTCAGTGGTAGTTTCTCACCAAACAGTGTTCCTCTGCCTTACAAACTTTATCCTGTTCACACTTTGCACTAATCCCAGAAACTGTGCAAGCATAGCTTTACAATGTAGGGCAATTTCGAAGGTCGGTTTAAAGTGTGAAAACCCACACATCACCTAACAGAAAAATTGTAGAAAAGATTTCGATGAGAGAAACTGTATTTGCTTTGGGAATATCGTGCTGCTTTTGTTGCTGCTTAATGTTTCCGGTAACAAATTGTGATTCAATCTATTATAACACGTCTAGACTTTTATTACCAAATATAGTAATAGATCTTAAAAATCATTTTTAGTCAGCATTACCCATTGTCTTTTAGGCAATCCCTACAGTAATTTCATTATGTTGTTTGTAATGATTTCTGCTTGACTCCAGGGCAGTCAATCTATATATCTTTTCTGCAACAAAGCCCCTCCCCCCAGTATTCTTTTTTTCCCAGCTTGTATTGTCATTAAACTCTCACAAGTACAGAGCAACGAAATGAAATCTCTGCATTTAACCCATCCCCTTGGGGAGCAGTGGGCTGCCATTGTGCAGCGCCCAGGGAGCAGTCTAGGGTTAAGGGTGTTTTTGCTCAGAGTGGCAGTCTGTGAAAGTGCGGCTTGAATTCAGAAGCTCAGGATTCCTAGCTCTGTGCCCTAACCACTAGGCTGCCACTCCCCAAATAACACCAGGTATAGTGGCTGCAAAGTGGAATGTAAAAATAGGTTATAGAAATCTGTTTATTTTTGGTAAAGGCTTTCAGTGTCTATGTTTTCAAGCTCTTCTTACTATCACCCTAATCTTATGCTCCCTCTAACATCTCTCTGTCATATTCAGTTCAGGTCTAATTCTGGACCATCCCAAAATATTAAATTTAGTCAGAAAACAAAACCATGTAGGTTAAATTGCATATGATTCATTAGATTTGTAGATTCATAAGAAATGTATTAATAACTAACTTACTACTACTAATACTAATCATTTATCAAAGTACACACCACCTGTCATACTTTTCATTAGTATTTACTTCCAATATACACATGCAGCAAAACCCCTACGGTATTTGAAAAACACTTTAGAGGTTTTTTAAGATGGAATTAGTTTGTGATGAGGACAAATATGACAAATATGTAGGTAGTTTTGGTTTTCAGGTATCAACTGTTCTGTCTTTATGAATATTCTGCTCAGCTGTAGAGGGGGATTGTCATCTATACCATCACCATTATTTCAGAAACCTTGAGAAAAGTATTAACTACCAGGAGTTGCACTGTATGTTTTTAAAAGTTAGAAATAATTAAAATATGAAACAAACTGTGCTCTAGTTGTATGTACAGACATCAGGTGTGCAAAATCTCTACTGACATATGAGCGTGAAATTCTGCACGTATGTATATGCTATGGTGACATTACACATTACTGAGTCAGTGGAAGCAGAAATAATGTGCATTAAAGTATACTTAGAAAGCATGTCAGGATCTCCAAAATGTTTCATTAAGCAAACAAATCATCTTAAAATTACCCCATTGTGTCAATCCAAGTTAGGAATGATTCTCCATGTCTAGTCTGCCCTTCAAGACCCAAACTGGGAGGAATTAGGAAAAAGAAATATGCATTTGAAATTGGTTATCATTTTATCTGATGGTTGATAAACAAATTACTGAGAAGAAGTGACGTTTATTTGCCATCAGAGTTTAAAAACAAAAGAGCAGCTAGTTTTGAGAGAAGGCCTTTATAAAAGGAGAGAATAGCTGTTCGATAAACTACTATGCAAAATAATGTCTCCTCACAGAAAATGTAAACAAGTGAGGAAGACTTAGACTTTACCACAAACATTATAAACAGCTTGCAGACACAACGAGTGATTATCAATATCTAATACAAACTATCACAAGCTTACAATTCAACTTGAATCTACTCAAACTAAGGATTTTACCTCATTAACTCCCATCTTTCTCCTTTTTGTTCTTAAGTGTCTAACCTCGGCTGGAACCCTTTTGCTTTCTCCACTTCACCATCTTGTCCTGCTGGATTCCACTACCTCTCCTTCTCAGTCTTTGGTTGTTTTTGTTTTGTTTTATTGCCAAAAACTAGACTTTCCCATTAAAAAGTTGATGTCAGCCTCCAAGAAAATGTATCCTATTATCAGGTTCGCTTTGATGCGTGTTCATGTACAAATCAACCATTAACTCGACAAACCCAAAATCATCCAACACTTCACAGTATATGGTGAATGCAACCCCCACCCAACTGCTCACTAGATGAAAACACAACATGCTACAGCTGCTGGTGCTAAGGTCCTAGTTTTATAGAGATTGCATGCACAGCAGATTTTCTATTACCTGTGTAGAGATTTGCATTTTGCATGACTGCACTACTGAAGAGTCCAGCAAGCACAATTTTTCAAAGGTTTTTAGTCATTGCAGACAAAGAGAAAGGTAAATTTGAACTAGTTAGCACCATTCTCAAAGCTAATAGATTTTTAATCAAATAGCTGCACTTTCTGTGATTATGTCTCCAAACTGTGATTAATCAAATGCGTGTGTGGGAGAGGCTGACGAAGAGAGAGACTGTGTTTGTGTTTGCCAGTCTGCTGTGAGTCTGAGCTGCTGTTACAGACATTAACCGATCTGTTGAAAGTACTGGGAGTGAAATCTGACTGGTTCCAAAGTGAGAACCACACCCACAGCAGACAGACAAGCCTGGCTCCATTTTCTAGCTTAAATTTATGAGGAAAAAAAAACAAAAACAGAAAGAATAAGATTAGAGAATGCATAATTATAGCATGGTATTTACAATACATACAAATCAAAATAGATTTAACATTTTTTTCAGAAATGTTTGTAGAAGTGAAATTCAGATTTTTTTTTTTTTCTATATTCTCATAAATCTTCAGGGTTTTATTATTTGTGTTTGTCTGACTGCTTTTAGGAAAATGTTTATTCAGAGATAAAACATGACAAGATTAGTTTTAGTTTGCCATCGTTTAACTCAGTATTGCATGCAGAATTGAAATACCTCAGCACATCATAGTGAGTGCACAGTGGCTCCTACTGGTGCACTAATAGCACTACAGAACTAAATACTAGAGCTCCATTTGAACCAGGCTGGCTCATGAAGTGACTGAGTCAATGATTTTTATCTCCTCTATATCCAATCCTCAACCAGTCCACATGTTATATTCATATTAAATATGATTTAATATGAATATAACATGTATAGTTAAATTTTTCCTCATTGTATTATACATTTTTTTGAAATGACATTTAATATGAATCACATGTGGACTGGTTAAGAGTTGGATATAGAGGAAATAAAATATATGATACAATTTTTCCACATATGGGCTGCACAATGGAGCAGTGGGTAGCTCTGCTGCCTTGCAGTGATAAGGTTCCGGGTTTGATTACCAACCCCAGGTCTTTCTGCATTGAGTTTTCATGTTCTCCCGGTGCATGTATGGGTTCTCTCTGAGTACTCTGGCTTCCTCCTTAAAAACATGACTGTTAGGTTAATTGGATTCTTCAAATTCTCCTTAGGTGAGTGTGTATCTCTTGCCCATAGACAGAGAGGAGATAGGCACCGGCACCCCTCGCGACCCCAGTAGGAATAAACGTGGATGGAAAGGATTTTTCCACAACATTAACAACTCTGTCAGGTATCACAAATTCATGGTACCCCATCCAGTAACTATATTTAGGGGAATATCACCTTTTTCCCGTAAGCCACCCTGCTATGGACATTTTTTTCCACCTGATAAAAGTGAAAGAAACATTATGTAAAAAAAAAACCTTTTGCTCAACACTTGAATTAGAAAGAGAGCTGCTTGTTGGTAACAGTTCGCACTTGTACATCAGGGGTTAAAAGATCCCCTCACATCTTCATTCAAAAATATCAGCCGCTCTGTTCCCAAACAAACATTGTCCTTGGCTTCCTTTCGACGTCATCTTTTGATTCCAAAAGTCACTCTCTGGTTTTAAGCAAACAGAGTAGAACAAACTTCACTTTTTGTCCATACCTCTGCAACCATGGACATCTCCACGGTTCTTTTGCTAATGTCTCTCATATCTCTTCACACTTTTCATGTGAACGGGGAAGGTTTTCTGCTGATGCCTGTTGAACTTTCTCCAATTCCATGTACAGACAAAGCTGTGGAAAAGCTGTCTCGCCTAGCAGTTACTTACATCAACGAGGATCGCAACGAGGGCTACAAGTTTGCCCTCAACCGGATCACCAATGTCTACTTGCATGCACAGGTCAGCAAAACACAAATCTACAGTTAACACCTAACATGGATGGATTGTCTATTTGTATTTTTTGCTGTTGCTATAATAAAACAGGAGCTGTGGTTTCTTGACACTGTTTGGGGAAGGTTTGAAGATCAACATGAGCTTAATAGGTTTTTACAATCAATCTGGTATTTATAGGATAAACATAAATTAAAATAAAAGCAACAACAACAAGGAATCTATAGTAACTAAAAAAAGGTAATAGATGTTTGCTGTCCATACTATTGGTTGCCAATATTACTTTTAATATCTGTTAAAATAAAATGAAAGTGCTTCCTTTAATATTCTAAAATGAGAAGCGTCTGCTCTAAAAGCTCATAAGAGAGAGCCTATAGGTCTAAAGTACCGCCAGTAATATCCAGGTTAATTTAGGAGACCCCCCCTTAACAAAATGGCTTTATTATCCTTTTGCTGTGTTGTGATTTTAGGCCACACTCTGAGATGGATCTAACTGACACAATTTAACCTTCTAATCTAAAAGTAAACTTTTTTTTAAGGTTTTTGCTCAAATCAATATTGTATAAAGTTCTTTTGCAGGAGAGTTTCCATCTAACTTAACTAGGCATTCAATTGAAGCTCATCCAATAAATCCATCCAAAGTTGTATGATAATGTTGCTTTTCTTAAAAAAAACAACCAATCGTTATCTTGTATTTGTATTGTAAATAACAGGGACCGGCAGGAAGTGTGTACTATCTGGACCTGGATGTCCTGGAGACCAAATGTCACATAGGCAGCCCGAAGCCGTGGAAGCGTTGTGAAGTCCGACCCTTCATGGAAACAGTAGGACACACACGGTCGAAGAGCACAGAAATAAATCTTTGCACTTATGTTTTACATCCTAACTTGTTGGACTTTTTGTTCTGTTCCATGGATGATCGTTTGTTCTTATTGTCAATTTATAATTATTAAAATAAACAGATTTTAGACTCTTTATTTATTTTAGGTTATACGTTGAGGGCTTTTATTTGTACAGTTTGCCAAAGTGAACTTCAAACAAACAAAAAAAAAGCTAACTATCCTTTCCTTACTCTAGTAGAAGATTTAATTAAATCTGATTGTAATACCTGAAGGTCAAGCTGTATTTAAACAGCATCAAAGAGTTCTGAAGTATAAGAAATAACTGCTGTCCTCATTATGGAAACACAGAAGAGCTGTTCAGATATTTTTCTTTTCTATTTGATTTCTGAATAATCAGGATATGTCGCACCCTACTTTCAGATACTTTTTCACAGCTCCAATAAGGATTGTCACCAATTTTACTAAATTATTTATGATCATCCAAAGTGGATTGGGAATATCTATGAAAACTGAATTTTAAGTCTTAAAGTGGATTTTAATTTTAACAGAATTTTCACTAGATCATTCCAAAGCATTGATTTATGCAATCCTATAGTAACTTTAGGGTTGGTATCCTACTTAAAAGTTTACCTTTGTCCTGCGTTCCAGCTGTGTAGCTTCTAATTCCTTTATTCCACTTTATATTGTACTTAATACTATTCTTAATCAATCTTTTGATCTGTAAAAGATTTTTTGCTCCTTGAATCCTTTCACATTCTTTAAAGTGGACCACGAAATTACTTTGAGCACCCTATTTTCTAAAATATCGGTATTCAACCTGTTCAATCACATTTTTGAACGATTAAAAGAAAGTTGGTCATGAATAATCAAGACAATTTTCATCCAATGCACTTGCTCTATATGATTTCCTGTGGAATATATGATAATATACACCAAAGAGCTTTTTTTTACATGGCCTTATTGGCTTCGGTTATCCAAAATATTTTACTTTGAAGTCTCTCTAAGTTTGTGTAGGATAAAATTAAGTCTTTTTTTATCAACCCTAGAAAGTATTTGTGGCATAGCATAGGCCAGCAACAAATCTTGTCTTCTGTATTCCTTTCAGCAAGTCTCAGGTAGCTGCAACACCACCATCCTGCAGACACCGGAGGGCTTCACTTATCTCTACAGCTATGAGTGCGCTCTCATGCCAGGTAATGCTTTCTGCCAAATATTAAAAAAAAGATCCATACATTATATAAACTATGTTGTTAAAGCTGCCGCTGTTACTCAAATTAGATATAGGAGCTGTAATGCTCACCGGGAAACCAAACAAAATGGCTGCAATGATCATAACAATAGTACATAGGAAGATTGTATGCATTTTCACTTAAATGACCCATTTAGCAAAACAAAATAGGAAAATCTAAAACTTACAAAAAATTTTTAAAAAATCATTTTCTCTGTTATGACAAATCAAAATGTGGTAAAAACATAGAATTTATTTCACCATGATCTCAATATATATCTTTTATGATCACAATTTTACCTTTAATATATTTTTTCATTTTTTTGTGTGATTTTATCAACCCTGTTAAACCTGTAGTGTGGTTTATTCTATTAGTGTTAATGCATGGCTCTATTTTTTGATAAAACAGCAAACATTGATATCCATATCCATTAATATCTAACAATATGACCGAGCTAAGCTATTCTTGCTGCAGATCCACCAGAGAAGCTACAGCAGACGTGTCCAACCTGCCCCGTCCTGCTCTCTGTAGACAGCCCAGACGCCATGAATGCTGCTGGGATCACTCTGGAGGCCTATAGGAGGCAATCCACCCTGGGTGTCGGGCTCGGAGTGAAAAAGGTCACACGAGCTGCAGTTCAGGTATAGCAGCGGTTAATCCTGTGCAGAAAACAAGGTTTTGTTGCTGAATTCAGTGCTCCTAAATTTATTGAATGCTACCTTTATGGAGAAACTACACTTAAGATGGATATCTGTGTGTGTGTGTGGGGGGGGGGCAAACATTACAGGGAACATTTGATCTTCTTTGGGCCAGAAGAAAGCCATTAAGGCTCTGCAATAACTATGACACACTGGCAGCACAAGGCTTCAAAGGATCCATGAAGATTTTAACACCTTTATGACTTATCTAGCTTATATTCGGCAAAAACAGCAAGAGCAAAATTGTTTCTTTGTAGGCCATATCTTTATACATTGCCTCTTATAGTAAATGGCAGTGCAGCTTTGGGAGAAAAAATAAAGGGTAATAGTCAATGATGGTCATTACAGAACATTACATATAAAAATACAACAGCTCTGCCTCTGGCAGTACTTGTGGATGCATTTGTGCAGTTTGTCATATTATTTTATTACACAGAATGTGCCAACAAAAGCCATCTTTGTGGAGTACACAGTCCAGGAGTGTACAGAGGGATTTACAGAGAGAGGGACCTGCCAGCGACTGACTCTCAAATCAGACACACAGGTACTTCAGCAGGGATTAACCTGTTCACACACCTTAGCGGTGCTCCATTAGTAATTTCTTAGATTAATGTGGAGCGTTTTTGTGTTTATTCACTGTTGTAATTGTCGTTTTCCATTCCCCAGAGATGACGCTGTTGGGAAAGGTTTAATTTGACGTTTTGCACTAAAGCAAGATTGTTACACAGCTTAAAGATCCATATTTGTGTGAGATACTTCTAGGTACAACAAAAGGAGGAAATTATTTAGTTTTCATTTAAATGATTTCCAGAGGAAAAATCCCAAATTATTAACACTTTTTCAGAAAAACAATCACTGTATAATATTTAGAGAATGACTTAACAATTTTCCAAAAATAAGTTAAACTGATGCATTTTTACCAGAATTTTTACTTTTTTTTTGTTGATTTTGTTTTTCGCACCGCCACCTTTCATGCATGCTAGCTACAAAGAAATAGCTTTTTGCCTAAACTGTCAGAAAATCTACTGTCAAAACAAAAATACAACTCTGAAAAAAATGAAAGAAAACCCACCATCTACAGTGACATAAAAGATTGGGGTAAATAAAAATTCTGCTATTTTTCCTGACGGGGGATTTGTGAGTTTTTTTTCTTTTTGAATAAATCAAATGAGATTATTACACTCTACATAATGCCCAAAAAGTCTCCTGAAAGTGGAAAGCTGCATAACGTCACTAAAGCTTCAGTGTTCATCTTCTTTGTTTTCATATAACCGGCTCCTTGGTGTTGTTATTTGGTTATTCTGTATTTTAATCTTTACTTTGATCAAAAGCTTCAGTGAATTTTTCTTTTACTTCAGAATCATTACAGAATTTATCTGTATCCTGATGCTCTAATAATAATTCAAGAATAAGCAAGCCATAAAGTTTTTTATTTTCTTTCCTTCAGACTGCAGGGTTCTGTACAGGATCTGTATATGGAGATTTAAACAACTACCCTGATGTCAAGGTGTCCTGTGAGATGTTTAAAATACAGGTAACAAATAAGGAACAGGTTTTTTTTCTATATTATTGTAAACGGTTGAAGACAATGTTCCAATTTTCTGCAGTTAACGGTTTAATGTAAATAAGAAAATAGTGATAAAGATAAACATGATAATTTACCATAAATATAGCAACAGCAAAGAAATTCAGCACCAGAAAATGCACTTTTAAGTGAGCAAGGTACTGCATGAATATCTAAAAAATATAATTTTTTTTTATATATATATTGCTAATTTCCTTTCATAATGCATTCTCATATTCTTAATTCTATGATTTCATAGTTTTGCATCTGCATTCTTCCTTTTACCTTGCTGCTGGAGTTCACCATCATGAGGCAATATATAGTAAAACATTTCTGTAGTTTTAATTCACTTGGTCAAGAAATGTGAAGGACCCAAATCTGAACAAACTGGATAAATAAAGAAAAAAAATTAACGCATAATGATTTATTTTAAACAAAATTGGAAATAGCAAGGGTCTGTAACTTATATATATATAAATGAATCGTTTCTGGAATAATCTACAGTTAATACCTAACAGGGTTGGATTGTCTATTTTCATTTATGCTGTAGCTTTTACAAAACAAGAGCTTCAATATATTAAATAGGATTTAACCGTTTTTTCTGCATGTTAGTATAGGTTGGTTATATGTAATTGCAGTGAGATGTTCTATGTTTGTCTGCAGAATGTTGACATGGTCCAACCAGTGAAACCGCAGGTTCTTGACCTCCCTACAGACCCTGTGATCCCAACCTTTCCACCTCTGCCTGATGACCCAGTAAATGACCTGCAGCCCATTCGCTCTCACCCTTCAACTTCCTCCACTACTCAGCAAGCTCCATTTGACCCTACAGCTATACCCTCCCTCCCTTCAGAGGCCCCAATTCTGGTTAACCCCTCTGCCCCTGTCCTCTCTTCTTCCAGTGAGTCTGAAGAGAGCATAGTAAACCGACAACAGCACACTGCAGGAACTCTGGATTCGTCCTCTGAGGAAAGTGGAGCCTTACTGGCCCGGCGTCCACCATTCAATTTCCGCTACCAGAGACGTAACCGTAGGAAGCGGCAGAGCTTGACAGAGACCACTCCCTCACACAACCCTGTATTTCTGTCTGATTTCCCCAGTGGACCATCTCCTTTTCGATCCTGTCCTGGTCCCGCTCGCTATGCCACAGTGTAACCATTCTTTCCCTGCTCAGAAATCCATTTTCTCATGTATGATTTACCCACTGAGAGCTTGAAACGATAACCTGCTCCAATCCATGTCACTGGAGGCTTGTAATAATTAGTGCTAATGAGAGGAAAGCGTTTTTTTTTTCCATTGTAGCCTTGGAGCGACCTCTCAGCGGCCTCTTTGCTGTTGCTCCCACAGCAGCTTCACATTAATTTAAAAATGGCTGCTTTCATTTAAAAAAATGTGATAAATATCTTGTAAACTACTTGGAGATATTATAGTAGTTGGGATTTTTTTCACTCTTTTAAATAAATATAAAAATGTTGTTCTTGGTCTGAACATTTCAGTTGGTTATTTGAATTTATTCAGTTAAATTCCAACACTCTTCTGCAAGTACTTCATTTGTTATAAAAACCTAAGCATCCCAACTTAAACATATTTTTTGTGGTGGAGTGGGTTGAGGTGTTGGGTAACTGGTTTATCCTGGACTTATTCTTTATTCCTTTACTTCATATGAATTCTGTGGGACAATAAAGGACTTATCTATTCTATTGTGATTCTAACCCTGTAGAGACAATATTTGCTTTCAAAAATAATAAAACAAACATATGTAGTCTAATTAATTACTTACACAGTCTAATAAATGCTCTGTATGGTTTGAGTACTTGAGAGAAACCAGTTTAGCATTGAGAATACATTTTTTCTGCTTTTCTTTTTCTTTGACATTACAGTGCTGCAGTTTAAAAGTCATTTAACAACCATTATAATTTACATTTAAATGAAATATGCTTAGATTTATGTCAAGAAATGTTCTTTGTCTAGTGAGATTTAATTGGTTATCTATGACTAACTGTGACCATGTGCTAAAACTATGACATGACACAAATATGTAAAGATAATATGACTGCGGCAGACATATGGTTTCTGATAAATCTAAAGATGGCTACCAAAGAACAGCTATTTTCCGAAACCTTTAAAAACAGAGGATAGAGCGATAAACACAAAGGTGGAGCTAGGGGTTGACAAAGAAAATGAATTGATCTTAACTCCCCCTTAACAATGTGTGGTTGTCCAGTCTCAAAAAGAGCCACAAAAGATAATGAGTATGTTAACTTGTATTTTGTGAGGAAAGAGATTTTCCTGTTTTATCATTCAAACCTTAAAATATGGAGTTTGCTAAATCCTTTTAGAACTCTGCCTGGAGAAATTTGGATTGGAATGTTAACACCAAAATGTACTTATCAGCAACAAACACTCATAGTGGGTCTGGTTTGGATCAAAAGACAAACCGACAAAAGGCATGCCACCCCTAGAGTTGAGTATGAAAATTGATTTGTGATGTTGTGGGACTGTTTCTGCTAAGAGAGCTGAAGGGGCCTTGTTTAGAGGATGTGGTGCAACCTTTAAACCTTGGAGTAAATAATTAAAAAATACCGAATGCTCTGTCCAATTACTGGAAATGGAATGAGTACAAAGGTAAATAGCTCAGCAAACATATATTATATGTTCTTTCATGGATTTTAAGTCTTTATATATATATGGGAGATGATTTCAAGGAAGAAGTGGCCCAAGGACTTTGAGAATTCTTAAAAAAAAACCTCCTTTGTAAACTACAACATTGGGAAACTTGATAGAAGAAGAATCTAAACATAAAGTGATCTAAACATAAGGATGTAAAAAGCATTTGATTTCGCACATCTGCTATTTTGCACATTGGAATAACCAAAGGAACAAACAGTGTTTCTTTCTTTGTTGTCATGAGGACTTTATCCTTATATATGTATCCATATTTGTGTGAGATACTTTGTTCTTGTATATATATCTATGTATAGCTATATATATGTATAGATATACAATTATATACGTATATATATATATATATATGTATATATATATATATATATATATATATATATATATATATATATATATATATATATATATATATATATATATATATATATATATATATATATATAGGTGTGAATGGCTGCTAAAATGGCCCTTCCCGTAAAACACCAGCCAAATGGCAGCCCACTGTCCTTCAAATCCCAGCAAAATCCCCTCCAGCCATTGGAGTGATATGTATTTTTTTTTCTCTGACTCCACAATTTTACTGAATTATTTAGATCTTAATGTCAACAAATTATGACAGAAAGAATATTTTAGTACAAATATCGATGTTTAAAAAATAATTGTAGGGGAACCAGCCAAGGGCTGGTGAAATTTAGAATGGCCACTACTGTACACATCAATATATCTATATTGATATATATATATATATATATATATATATATATATATATATATATATATATATATATATATATATATATATATATATACCTCAGAGAAGCTAACAGTCATATGTTTTTGGACTGTGGGAGGAAGCAGGAATACCCAGAGAGAACCCATGCATGCACAGTGAGAACATGTAAACTCCATCCAGACAGATCCCGGGCCAGTAGAAGAAACCTGGAACCTTCTTGCTGCAAATATTATTTCAAAGAAACTTCAACAGGTATTAGAAATTGAATTCCCTCCCTAATCTTTTAGTATCCTATTATCTTACCAAACATCATATCCATTAGAGAAGAACTACATTTTACTATGTACACTAAAAAAGCAACAACCAAAAATATTAACGGCACCTGTGAAAACATAAAATAAGGGTAAGGTAACCAAATGGAAGACATCCAGAACTACTGGAAATAATGTGTCTTTAACTTCACAACTGATCTACAGCAGTATAGCCTCAGCAGTTCAAAATAATACTTAAAGGAAAATGTAAGTAAATGTAATGACGCACTGCATGCACAAGGGGGCGCTAACAGACCATAAGCCTCCTCATAGCAACCTCAAGAAAAGTTCATCAGCAAATATTCTTAAGGATGTTGTGGTTATATTTTCCTTTAAAAAACACACATATGCAGGAATATATAATGTACCTCATCTAAAGATGCATTCAGTATGAATTCTTAAGAAAACTTTACATATTTTTTTCTTTTCAATTGTTAAAATAATGTGTCTGTCTAATGCCAGTCAGTGCATTGTAAAGGTCAGTAAATGACTTTGCATCTCTCTGCAGATGTAAGAGAGATGTAAAAAGAACAGCACAACCAACGGACATGGTACAAGATATACAATAAAGTAGCACCTTGATACTATCGCTGAAGTATAAGTAGTATTATTTAATCTTTTTTGCTTAATTTCTACACAAATCAAAAAAAAAAATGGAAGTAAAATCATTCAATTTTACCAATTAGTTATAGATAATGCTACATATATTATTAATTTACTTATTCATAACCTTACATCTACTTCACCAGATGTCAGTGGTGAATTCAAAATTAATTCACTATATTTTTTCCAGATCTGGGGAAGCAAAATACAGCGAATTAATTGTAACAGTTTATAAACTACATTAAACACATATTTTTATATGTTTTAAGTAAGCTGCAGAACACCACACATTCATTATCTACATTATTGTTTGCTTTTGCAGATTTAAAAGTAGCATCTGTTTTTTTGTTTGTTTGTTTTTTGCATCAGTGTACATAAAAAAATGTAGGATCCTCATTTTAATGTTCAACTCCCCTTCAGCTCTAGCAGATAAAAATCTGTGGAGCTGTCACTGTACTGAAGTAAAAAACGATTGGGTTTGAAAAAGGGGGCGATAGCACGGAAAAAGATTAGGGCCACTGAAAAAATTTAAAAAGTTTACAGATTTTTACATGAGATATTATACTGAAATATTTTTTCTCAGAATTCTGGCTTTAATTTCAGAATTCTGACAGAATTCTGACTGAATTCTGACAGCTAATAAACATGTTAGTATCAAGCCGTAGCCATATCTGTTTTATAGACTAGCTCTCTTGTTTTAATCACCTTCTGCTCTTCCAAAATAATGAAATAGCATCACTGCGGACCCTTCGGGCATGTAAAAAGTCGCCTAAATCCATCATTTTCCAGTGTGTTACTGGCCCTCTAAAAAACTCACATCGTTGTCAGTGAAGCTTGTTGCTCCAACATCTCTTCCTTAATGGTGCCCATCTACATTAAGATAAACAATTATGAGATTAAAGTCAGAATTCTGAGATTAAAGTAAGAATTCTGAGATTTAAGTTAGAATTCTGTGAAAAAAGTCAGAATTCTGAGATTTAAGTTAGAATTCTGAGATTAAAGTCAGAAATGTGAGACTAAAGTCAGAATTCTAAAAAGAAGTCAGAATTCTGAATAAAAGTCAGAATTCTAAAAAAAAAAATCAGAATTCTGAGATTAAAGTCAGAATTCTGAGATTAAAGCTAAAATTCTGAGATTAAAGTCAGAAATCTAAGACTAAAGTCAGAATTTTGAGATTAAAGTCAGAATTCTAAGAAAAAAGTTTCAATTCTGAGGGGAAAAAAATCAGAATTCTGAGAAAAAAGGTCATAACTCTAAGAAAAAAAGTCAAAAAAATTTCAAAAAATTCAATTTTTTTCCCCATATTAAATTGAAATAACAATTAGAAATCTCTTAACTTAAAAAAAAACAGTGGTCCTAATCTTCCGTGGTACTGAAGTAAAAACTGATTGGGTTTAAAGGGGGGCGGTAGGAGTTAGCATCGGGGTAAAAATTTAACAAATAGCAGCTTTGAGCTGCAGATGGCGGAAGTGAGCGTCAAAGATGTTGCTTCTATCCGATCACAGCGTGTTTCCAATAAACCACCTCAGGCTTGTGTCTAAATATGATGATTCAGTGGAGGTTTTCTCATCTCACTCCTCCTTCTAACGTCACTGTTAGAATATAAACCCTGGTCTCTATGTGAGCAATTTGTATCATAATCTCAGTCAGATTGTAGCAACGAGGAGGGGCTTCCACTTTTCTGCTATCCGAGACTTTTTCAGCTCCCTTCCTCCCAAATGGACGAGTGAGTAGTCAGGCCACTATAAACAACTTGAAGAAAATCAAAATAACTCATTTTTAACGCTTCTGACTTGAATTATTTGTTGTTTTTAAGCTGGAGGCATTCCTGTGGGATCTTTGCAGATCTCCCCTTTAGGTAAGAGAAACCTTTTACATCCGTTTCATGTGTCGAATACCGTTGTTTGCTTATTTTCCTCTCTAGTTATAAACGTTTGCGGTGTTCTTCAGACGATGTTTGCCAACAGTTAGTTTCTCACGTCTCTCCCAGCAGCTACAAGTCCCGACTTGTTTGGAAAAAGAAAAAAACTAATTGTCTGGTTCACATCTTTCTAGGACATCATGTCGCAAACAGTTTCTACTGCCTGTGATTCATTACTGTGGAAAAAAAAAAACAGCTTTATAAGCATCTGCTTTAAGCGCACTTTTAAACAAAGTAAAGTCATATTATATTAAGTTAATTTCGCTTAATTACAGAGATCTTTACTGATGGTTTCGAGGCACAATTTTCCCATATAGATTTTAATTGTTTTTAATTAATTTTGTTTTAATTTGTTTTTTATTTTGGTTGGGTTTAAAGTCTCTCTTGATGGTTTCTCAACAGTTTCTTTAAAACAAAAAGAAAAAAATAGTTAACACTCTTCATTTAATTGAAGAGGGCCCCGTTGGGCGTATTCCACTGAAATAGTTCTGGTGTACATTTGGCCACATTTGGCC